GCCCGATGCGTGCAGGCGCGACCGTAGTAGGAGACACGTGCCGCGGGACGCAGATGGGCCGGGGTGGTTGGAATGGTGATTTCAGGAGAAGACAAGAGGAAGTTCTATGGCATTGTTCGTGTTTATATTGACTTCCCAGGGGAGGCGTGTCCATGCCGCCCCTGCCCTCTGTGGACAAACCCCTTTACAACAGACAGTTTGTAAAGGAAACACACAGGATTGATGCAAATGATCATAAGACATGTACAAACACACACCACATTTCATTATTTGCCACTGATACACACATGTAGGACGCGGTACAGACTTATCGGAATAACACTGGGTCCAGGCTGGTCTACAGAATGTCCGGGCCGGGTGTGATGGTGCTCAGTGCCCGCTGGGGGGCGCCAGAGTGCCGTGGGAGAGTCTCAGAGTGTCCGGGGACAGGAATCCCCGGGATTGAGAGCAGATGGGTGATCTCTGATCTCTGCCAGGCAGAGAGACACAAAGATATTTGTTCTGGGGCTCAGTTTATGGCCTTGGTTGACACTTATGGCCACGGTGACGGATGATGTCCTCTGGTTGACCTGGCCGTCCCTTCGATGTGCGTCAAGATGGGTCATGCTCGGAGGGCATGTTTACACATCTTTGTTTGCCGGTCGACTGTCCGACTGGCTGTCCTTTAATTCACCTTACATACCCCCCCCACGGCAGAGATGCACCTTCCGACAAGGTGCATGTCATGTCGGATATGCCGGGCGGGTGTCCTCAGTCGGTCGTCTCGCCTGTTCGGGTGTTAGTGCGTGATTTGTAGTGACATGTTACAACATTCTAGTCTCAATGTGACTCAGTAGCTAGCAAGCGCCTAACTGGGGCCAGGCTCGTAGCGGTTGGGTCTCGGGCCTCTGGCTTGGTTTGTCGAGGCCGGGTTTTCTCTAAGGCGAGTCCTGGCCCTGCAGGCTAGTTCTAACCGGGATCGGGGGTTTAGGGAGTGAGCTCCGGCCGTGAACTCTAAGGTTTGGGCCGGTGTGCCTGACTCCTGGGTCTCTTGGTCTGGAAGACTCAAAGTTCCAAGCCGAGAGATTAGCAGGAGTTTCTAATCTAGGGGACTAGGATGTAAAAATAAGAAACTTCAAAAATCCGAAAAAGGGTGGCTGCCTTGGCAGCGGGTAGGAGCGTCGTTAAGGCACTCGATGGTGAGGGGTTCCCACCTTGCTCGTTCTAAACGGGGAGTGTGAGGGTTACACGAATATATGACGTAGCAAGTGGGGCTTTAATTACGAGGGACATTTCCTGTATATAAATGGGGATGACAGGTATGATTGTCTAGGAGACTGATTAGGTATCGAGGTAGGTTGGTTGGGTCTGAGCTGGTGACTCTTAGTGGGGTTTTAGGCCCTTGGTTCATCTTCCGTGATAGAAAGGGTGACCGTCTCGAGTGGGTGACTTTGGAGGTCCTCGTACTCTGATTTGTTGACCCGGGGGCGCCGACTTAAATTGCCACGCTCGACGGCGCTGTCGCCCCGGTTTGGTCATATACGGATCTGTCTCGTCATTGCCTCCGCGCACCTGTTAAAGCTACCGCGGAGTCGTCTAACCCGTCTATTTAGGACGAAGGCCATGGCTACGGCCAGAATGTCCTCAACTAACGATAGCGGCACGAGGTATGGCGGGATACGGCCCATGGCTGGGTCTTCGATCGAGGAACTGAAGTGACATAGCATGTCCTCCATCAGTTGGGTGGTCAGCTGAGTATGGGCGTAGTCTAGTTGGAGAACGTCTAAGAGTTGATTGACCGCAGCGGAGGTGCGTTTAATCGCAACCTTGTGCGTGTTAAGTACTAGCGTGGTTCCTTTCAGGGACTTTCCCAAGGTCACCGCGTCGTTCTGTTGTTGATAGAGTCTGGTTTTGACATCCTCGAGTTCAGAGGCCATTTCTTGTTGGTGGCGTCTGAGGGAGGATAGGCTAATGGCGTTTACCGTGGACATCCCTAGGCTAAAGAGGGTGCCCAGGGCTGACGCCGCGGGTGAGTGGAGCCCCAATAAATCGTTTGGGTCTGGGCGAGGGTCACTGAGCTCTGTCCTAGTGATCGTGAACTTCTCTAGTTGCGTCAGCATGTGTTGTATGTCTGCCTCAGCGTGCAAAACGACCGTCTGGGTCCAGCGTGCACCTGCCCAATCTTTGAGTGTGACCTTCGAGGGCAGGTTCTTGCGGCAGACTTCACTAGGGCTGAGTCTGACAAAGATTCGCTGTGCGTGGAGTCGGACGTCCGTGATGAGGAGTCCGGGTTGTTCCTTTAAAACGATCCCGGAGGCTGGTCCGGTCTCAATAATTTCTGGGGTGCCGAGGCCCAGTATGCAGGTCAGCACGAGAAGGAAAGTGGGCCACATGTTCTGCAAGGCGTGAAACAACTGTTAGGGGTTAGACAGAGACAGAGAAAGAGAGAGTCGATTAGTGCAGCTGAGAAGAGTGTTAGTGAGTGCTGGGCTAATCGTGTTTGAGGTCACGTGGTGTGTTCCTAACTGGGGTTTGAAGTGTGCCCTGCTTGTCCCATGGGGCTTTGTTTGTGTGGTTTGGTTTGGCTGTAACGGGCCCATCTGAGGGTGGGCTCTCTACCTTTTGTGACCTCGATTTGGTGCACTGCGGTTGAGAGTTTGTTTCCCACCCTGTATGGCCTTGACCAGCGGTGTAGCGATTTCCGGTGTAGTCTGGTGGGGCCGGTCCCCACGTGTCCTGGGGAATGTGCCAAGGTGTAATACCATACCTGGTTTTTGACCTGGAAGTGGTCCTGCGGGTCGGTCCTGTATTGGTTTGTCCTCAGGAGCCGGGGGAGTTTCACGTTCTCGTCACTCCGGTTTGGGGATACGTACCTTAGTATTTCGGTCGCCATTCGGTCCGTTGTTTCTACCTGTTGTAGTGCCTGACGTGTGTTGTTTATACCTGTTTGTTTCGCGGTAGGTGCGTCATGGGCGTGTGCCAACATTACCCCCCTCATGCTTCGAGGCACCACGAGTACCGACGAAGTGAGTGTATCGGAAGCAGAATCTAACAGCCCATGGCGTATTGGCAGTATTCCTTCATCACGGCCGGAGGTTCCGAGCGTCGTGTCGATCATGACGTCGAAGGGGCGTTCTAGTGTGGGGTTGTCGTGTCGGAGGGAGGCTAAGTCCGACCTGTCGAGGTCGGGGGCCGTCCCCCCGCAGTCCGGGTAGTACCGTTGGCCTAGGGTTAAGTCCTGGCGTGCGTCAGGGGGGGTGCCGCGGGATTGCCCTCCATGATTGGGGAGGTCCCCGGCGTTCCCATCGCGGGTCACTGGCCATTGTGTCGCAGCATATGCGGACGGCCCAGGCTTGGGGCACCGTAAGTCGTGTGGTCCATGTAGCATGTTCAGATGTGGGCCAGGGGGGTCGTTGTAGGTTTGTCCGCTATGTTGAGGGCGGGCCCTTTCGTCCCAATGGCTGCAGTCTGAAACATGTCTCGTATGGACGTCAGGTGGGCCAGGGTCATGGGTCGGATAGTCATGTTGTCTGTGTCGCATGTCCATGTGTGTTCCCGGAGGGGCGTCGTGGGGGTCGCAGTGGTCGACGTGTCCAATGTTGGGTTGTGTATTGTTCCTATGACCTTGATTTTGGCTCTTTCCCGTCATGACACTTACCAGTTCGGCCACGCTCCTGCGTTCACAGTTGGGCGATGGTTCGCCGCGGTCGGAGCGAGGGGAGTGTGGCCCGGAGGTACTGTCACGGCCGGTTCCGTTCGAAATAGCGGTCCTGGTTTCCGCTGCGCGATCAAGATCCATGGTCGCGCTTGGAGTCATGCTCAGTCCCTGTTGGTGGTCCCTACTGACCTGTTGGACTTGTTGTAAGCGGGTCGCGGCGGATTTCCTAGTTTCCGCCAGTTGTCGTTCCAGGTCACTCACTGTGTTTTGGAGCCTTGCTTTCTGGGCTTCGGAGTCGCGCAAGGTTATCCTGGAGATTATGGCCAGTCGTCCTAGCCACTGGGTTAGGGTCTTACCTTGGAGTTTCGTCGTAGTAGCTTCGGATGCTAATATGGAGGTAGCATCTTGTAAGTCAGAGAGTGAGCTGTGCTCAAGCGTGTCGTAGCCCCCTGGGAATAACTTATCTGTGAGGTCTCGCAGAAAGTTATCCACTATGCCGTGTCCTTCTGAGACACCGTCGTGCCTGCTCGGTCGTGGCGAGTTTCCGCCATCGATTTCCATATTTGTGTGGGTGAGTGTATGCGAGTATGACTTGGAACGTGTGTGTACGACACGGTGGGAGGAGGGAAAGGAGGAAAGCAGTGCTATAGAGAGGGTAGTTTAGCTGTTGGTCGTGTGGTGGTGTAGACCCTGGTGTGTGTCAAAGCCGTGACTACAGCGTCCTCTCCGTGTGGCGGTGTATGCGAGTGGGCGGCCTAGGTGAGGGGCCGGGCGTTAGTGCGTCTTCACCTGTGTGTCAGCGGAGGGCGTTGGGGTTAGTGGCGTTGGCGCACGTAGGGTTAGCAGTGGCGCCGGCGGCAGCAGCAGTATTAGGGCGCGGCGTTAATCGCAGCGGTAGACGCGGCGTGAGAGACGCACCTGCGTGAGGGTCGCACTTGCGTTTGTGGTCGCACTTGCGTTTGTGGTCGCACTTGCGTTTGTCTCGCACTTGCGTTTGTCTCGCACTTGCGTTTGTCTCGCACTTGCGTTTGTCTCGCACTTGCGTTTGTCTCGCACTTGCGTTTGTCTCGCACTTGCGTTTGTCTCGCACTTGCGTTTGTCTCGCACTTGCGTTTGTCTCGCACTTGCGTTTGTGGCGCGGCGTAGCTTTAGACGCAGCTCAAGTAAGCAGTAGCAAAAAGGCAGCAGGCTGAGGCAAGGCAATGCATTTCTAGTGACAGTGAGGGTTAGAAGTAGAGTATTAGTTTTGATGTAGTACGATCAAACATAGAGTTTGGCAGAGTAGAGTGTTAGTTTCACCACTAGGTGGGAGTGCAGTATCTGTCAGATCACACGTCGATGTGGTTGAACGATAACGCGCATCATGCAGGAGCAGAGGTACAGAATAGGATTAGTTACCACAGCAATGTGTCATTATCAGTGGCAAGGAGGGGGCGGGGGTGTGTGGGAGTGCAGTGTTTGTTAAATCACCACACAGATGTGTTACCGTAAACTAGCAGTAGTGAGTGAGCAGGAATAAAGCATAGAATGCGTTTCATCAGCGACATGCAGCAGAAGGAGAGCAGAGTTTACAGCATTAACCTTGGCTAATGCAGTAATGTAGCTTAACAATTATGTTTAAGAGGAGAAGCAGGAACAGAGTGTTAGCTTTTTGTTATGTATAGCAGTAATGTGTTCTAATAGCATCATGCGCTAGAAGTAGCAGAGTTACAGTATGAGACTTGGTCAATGCAGTAATGTAGCCTAACAATTATGCTTAAGAGGAGAAGCAGAAGCAGAGTATTAGCTGTTGTTATGTATAGCAGTAATGTGTTCTAATAGCAACATGCGCTAGAAGTAGCAGAGTTATAGTATGAAACTTGGCCAACGCAGTAATGTAGCCTAACAATTATGCTTAAGAGGAGAAGCAGAAACAGAGTGTTAGCTGTTATGTATAGCAGTAATGTGTTTTAATAACAATATGACATGCCGCAGAAATCCGTGAAGCAGAAACACGGCATATGATCAGTTACTACACTAACGTTAAAGGGGAGAAACAGAACAGAGTGTTAGCTTTACCAATGTATGGCAGTAATGTGGTTATTGAGTTGGAGTAACAAAACAGCACGGAGGTATAGCAAAGCCGTTTCACGTTAGAGCCACATTCACTGGTGATTAAAGACGTGGTGCAGAATGAAGTGTCAAGACAGCAGCAATGTGGTCCCGGAAGTAGTGCCGGGACCGGAAAGCAATTTTGTGTTTAGACAATAAAAGAGGTGCGGCCCGTTTAGCAGTATGCCGAGGCGGCTGGCGCCTTATGATCGTCAGAACACAGAATCAGAGTGGGATAGGATAGTACGAAGTATAGTAAGTAGTGTTATTGTTAGACAGCAGGTAGACAATGCAGCAGAATGGTATTAGCAGTGGGGATGCGGCTCTGGCTTTTAGCGCGCCAGGGCCGGAAGTTAGCCGTATGCTAAAAACAAAGGAGCGTAGCTAGCATTTAGCTTGGCGGCAACGGGACATTTTGGCAGCAGTTTAGGCAATAAACAATGAGTTTTGGTGACCGAATGCAGTTCGGTTAAACCGAGTGGCACTAGTTTTAACGGTAGAGAAGCAGCTTATAGTGGGAGCAGTAGTAGGAGCAACGGCGTTGTCAGAGTTAGCTTTGAGGCTAGCGGGGCCCGGGCGGAAGTTAGCCTTATGCTAGAACAAAGGAGGGTAGCTAGCCATTAGCTTTCGAGCGTGGCACGTTTTAGCAGTAGTTTATACACGAAAGTCTGGAGCGAGTTATACAGTTCGCACAAGCACGTAATCACAGTGGTGGGATGGTGTTTGTCTGTATTGTGCAGTACAGTCTTGGTGTGTGTATGTCCAACAGCAGAGTAGCAGGAGAAAGTGGTGAGACAGAGTTAGCGTTAGCCACCTTTAGCAGAATAATAGCATCACATTCACACAGCTGCCATTTACAGCCTTTTACACAGATATACTCGGTTAAAATCCTGTGTGACTTGGGTCACAAAGGGACACAGAGTAGATCCGTACGCCCGTGTTCTGGACACGGTGTACAGTGGAGTTATAAGAATAAGATTTTGCGCTTTCTCTTAAGAGTTTAAGCGGCTTCACATTCCACGCTGCCCGCTGGCCAAGAGGGGCGACACGTTGTAGGAGATGCGTAGTACCCGTACGAAAAGTCGGGATTTGAGACAAAATTAATAGTCTGGTGCATGCACGGGACGCTTTATCGCAAGCGTGGGGCGTAGGGGAGCTCGATTGTCCTTGAAGTCACTATAGCAACGGGGGTAGCAGGGACAGAGGGGGTGCGGGAGTGGGGGGAAGTGCTTTGAGCGGAGCAGCAGTAAAGTTAGCGTATTGCAGATCAATCACAGAGTACGAGTTTGATAAATCTGGTCTATGTACGCGGATCTCACAAACAGGGTACCAATATGTAGGGTAACTACTTATATTGCTGATTATAATTACTTATTAGTATAAATTTGGTAGTGTGGGTCTGCTTTATATTTATTTTGGCACCAGCAATGTGTGGGACACACTGCACAGACCAAACCAAATCTTTGCCTCGATATCAATCTTATAAATCTAAAAGGTAGTTAATTCGTAAATCGGCCAGGGATATTCCGAGATCTAACAACACGACTCTGATAGGATTGAGTTAAAGAAAAGGGGTTTTATTGATTACAAAAATGAAGGTAAAAATATAACGAAGGGGATTTCTGGTCACATTAAAGCAGAAGTGGTATACATTTCATTCAAATCACACATTTAACAAAGAACAGTCTTACTTTGTAGGAGCGTAGAGGATGGAGAAAGGATTTGGGTTGGGGAATCAGCCCACGTGGTTCCTTTGTCTGGGCAGGCGGGAGGTACAAAGCCAGCGAGTTGGTCCAGCTGCTGATTCACGCGTATGCAGCCCAGTCCGGAATGGGTTGCGTGCGTAGAGTCCAGAGCCACGGAAAAGAGGCTGGTGATGAACAGTTCATAAGGTCCCGAGCCGAGGAGAGTGTGTTTTGCGGAGTAGGAGGCCCGATGCGTGCAGGCGCGACCGTAGTAGGAGACACGTGCCGCGGGACGCAGATGGGCCGGGGTGGTTGGAATGGTGATTTCAGGAGAAGACAAGAGGAAGTTCTATGGCATTGTTCGTGTTTATATTGACTTCCCAGGGGAGGCGTGTCCATGCCGCCCCTGCCCTCTGTGGACAAACCCCTTTACAACAGACAGTTTGTAAAGGAAACACACAGGATTGATGCAAATGATCATAAGACATGTACAAACACACACCACATTTCATTATTTGCCACTGATACACACATGTAGGACGCGGTACAGACTTATCGGAGGGGGCGCCAGAGTGCCGTGGGAGAGTCTCAGAGTGTCCGGGGACAGGAATCCCCGGGATTGAGAGCAGATGGGTGATCTCTGATCTCTGCCAGGCAGAGAGACACAAAGATATTTGTTCTGGGGCTCAGTTTATGGCCTTGGTTGACACTTATGGCCACGGTGACGGATGATGTCCTCTGGTTGACCTGGCCGTCCCTTAGATGTGCGTCAAGATGGGTCATGCTCGGAGGGCATGTTTACACATCTTTGTTTGCCGGTCGACTGTCCGACTGGCTGTCCTTTAATTCACCTTACAGATGTCTGCAACAGATTGCAGGAGCTTCTTGATCCGTTAACTGTCCATTATTACAGCATCCTGTCGCCAGCAGATAAGACCAAATACAGGTAAAATATCAGCTTGCTGCTTCATTATAATTTATTTTACATGCTCCTGCCACAAGTGTATACAAGCCTCCCAAAAAGTCTGGAAGTCTATTTCAGCTTCATGCTTTATCTCTTAAACGGATTGAATACAGTTAGTTGGCTTTATGCCCCATTTATTTATTTAAAACTGCATGACCTCTATTTTAACCATGCTACATTTGTTTTTTAGAATTGGACAATAATTTATTTAGATTATCGCACTCTATTTATTTGGTTCAGTTTAAAAAAAAAATATATATATATATATATATATATATATATTTTTTTTTTTTTTTATTTGCAGAGGTCTTCTATTTCACCGGAGGAGAGGGCCAGAATCAGCGTTGTACAGCAGGATATTAGCAGATCGGCTTGTGCCACCACCGAGAACAAGAGGCGTAAAGAGAGCATCTCTGTTCTCTTTTGGGAACATGAAAAGCTCACCACTTTGGTCGACTTATACAGAGGTACAGCATCTAAAAATATATCGTAAATGCTCTAATATAGGCCCGGGCCTTTATTTACTCCAGCGTATTGAGGACCAGGCCTTTATTGGAACCAGGCCAAAATTAGAGACAGGCCTTTATTTCAATTTGAGCAAAACGGACACCAGCAGAAAGAAAAACAAGATTTGTGTCCATTTGAATCTAAAGTATTAGGTTAATTTATTAATTTACATTGCAAACAGTTAACCATACGGGGTGATAATTAGGCTACTGGTATTCATACATAACAGAAGGCAACCTATGGGACTGTTTTTTACAGCTTAACGCAGTAGAATGAAGAAAAAACGAGATTTGTTCATTTATTAATTAACATCGCAAACACTTAACGATACACAGGGATAATTAGGCTACTGCTATTGATACTTAACAAAAGGCAACTTACGGGACTGGTTTAGACATATTACCTCCAAAGTATAACCACTATAAAGAAACTAAAACCCTAAAACTTTGGTCCCCCAGGTTGCACTGTCCTGGGCTACCAGTCCTCTCTGCTGTGTGCGTCCTCGGTTCCCCTGCGCCTTTAGCTGTCCTCTCGGGTAGACTGGTCCTCTGCGTTGCTGTGGAAGGAGGTAGAATTACGCTCAACCCGATCTATGCTACTAGTCCATGTGTACACTGGGGCCTCTAGTCCACGTCCTTTTACTTAGCTCGTTATCTAGCATTGTATGCCACCTTGGCTTGCTCGTATGGAGGACAGAAATAAATGCACTTATTCTCATAATTGCATGCATTTCTTAGCAAATTTTATCTTTTTAAAATTTATTTATTTATTTCTGAATATATTTATTGTTTTGGCAGCCACGGTCCTCCCTATGCTCGCACCGCTGCTCCACGTCTCTGCTCCTGCAGTTCCCAGGCCGCTGCACGTCGACGGTCCACTGTCCCCCGACCGCTGTGGAGAGGACCGGGTAACACGGCCAATGTGCCTGGATGGGAGTGTGAGTGCTCGTTTATGTCCCTTTACTTAACTTGTGTGGCAAGTGGAGGCAGCTACATGCTCCTAAAAATACAATAAAATAAAAGAAAGAAAGACCAGCAACGCCAGGGCAGAGTGCCCAAAATAAAATAAAAAGCGCGCTAAGGTGCACAGGTTTGTAAATCATGATGAGGCATTGGCAGACGTTAAGTTTACTTGGATTTATTATGTTTTGTTGTGTAATTCCATTCTGGATGTGTATCTTCCTGTCACGACGGGATCAGGATCAGGATCACAGGCAGACACAAAAGAAACGGAACAGTGAGAGAAAACAGGAGAAAGCGGGAGAAACAGCGGTGGGCCGTAATGTGGCCAGTCCTCAGTGTATGAATTAAAGTAGAGTTAAGTTATCATAACAACCACAATGCTGTCAGTGTGTACAGCTAAAACCTACTTTTCTACAGCCAACACTGAGCGCGCACTCTTGATGAGTGGCGGTTTAAAGGCCCAGACCCACAGCCGGCTACGACACACTCAGACCCCAACGAGGGCGGCCAGACGCCAAAGCGACGGGACAGCATGGCCATATAAAAAAAGGACCCACAGGAGACGGAAGTGCAGAGGTAAACAAAAGAGGCGACTAAAAGCTATTTATACTGTCAGTCTGCCAAGTCCAGCTTGCCACACTTGTTTCCAGCATTGTATGCCGCCTTGGCTCCGCTGGTCCAGTTGCCTCGGTCCACCCGTGTAAGTAGGGGGGGGGTCCAACCGGTGCACCGCTCCTCTCTGCCACTCGTGTGCGTCTCAACAGCCTCGAACCCGTCCAGTCTCCGGCGTCTGCCCTGGCCTCTGTTCTCTCGCGCCGCAATCTTTACACTCGCTTCTGTAGCTTCTTCCGTCCGGTGCCTCGGTCGTCCTTTCCTTGCTCTTTCCCACCTGTTCCCCGGTTATCAATCAAGCGGGGCTGATTACCACCAATGGCGTTCGGTTTGCAGCCGAGTGTGAAGCGGCTGGGATGAGAATCAGCACCTCCAAATCCGAGGCCATGGTGCTCGACCGGAAAAAGGTGCCTTGCCCTCTGCAGGTGGGTGGAGAGGTCCTTCCTCAAGTGGAGGAGTTCAAGTATCTCGGGGTCTTGTTCACGAGTGAGGGAAGAATGGAGCGTGAGATTGACAGGCGGATCGGTGCAGCATGCGCAGTTATGCGGTCTCTGTATCGGACCGTTGTGGTGAAGAGGGAGCTGAGCCGAAAGGCAAAGCTCTCGATTTACCGGTCAATCTTCGTTCCCTCCCTCACCTATGGTCATGAGCTTTGGGTAATGACCGAAAGAACGAGATCGCGGATACAAGCGGTCGAAATGAGCTTCCTCCGCAGAGTGGCCGGGCGCTCCCTTAGAGATAGGGTGAGGAGCTCAGTCACACGGGAGGAGCTCTGAGTAGAACCGCTGCTTCTCCACGTCGAGAGGAACCAGTTGAGGTGGCTCGGGCATCTGTTCCGGATGCCTCCTGGACGCCTCCCTGGGGAGGTGTTCCGGGCACGTCCCACCGGGAGGAGGCCCCGCGGAAGACCCAGGACACGCTGGAGGGACTATGTCTCTCAGCTGGCCTGGGAACGCCTTGGGGTCCCCCCGGACGAGCTGGAGGAAGTGTGTGTGGATAGGGAAGTCTGGGCGTCTCTGCTTAGACTGCTGCCCCCGCGACCCGGCAACGGATAAAGCGGAAGAAAATGGATGGATGGATGGATGGCGTTCGGTGGGGAGCGTGGTCCATGATGAACAGCTTCCTCTACCTGCTGTATATGAGCAAAATCACTGTAATCATCCCTGGCGAAAACAAAAAAATTCAATTCAACATTCTGACAGATCAGAAGTGACCGTTGTAGCAACATATTCACAAGAAACTACAGACCGCTAACGCTACTTCCCAGTAGTCCTCTACTTTTCACATTGTACACCCATGACTGTTGCTTCTTCTGACTCAAATTTGATCATGAAATACGCAGATGACACCACCATTATTGGTCTCATCAGCGAGAACAACAAATCTTCATACAGAGCAGAGGTGGAGAATATTGTCAACTGGAGTAAAAACAACAACCTCCTCTTGAAAACGTCCAAAACATGTGAACTGGTGTTCAACTTCAGTCGTGGTCACTCTCTCTCCCACTCACCTGTGGTCATTGATAACTCTCAGGTGGAGATTGTGGAGGAGTGTAAGTTCCTTGGTCTAACTTAGTCCAACAATTTGAGATGGGACAAAAACACCAGCCATACTGTTAAAAACGCTTGCCAACATCTATACTTTCTGCGGAAACTAAGGGAATTCACGATAAACTCAAAGATTTTGCAGACCTCCGTAACACCGACTCACTCTCATTCTTCAAATCCACCATCAAAACTCCTCTCATTAGACAAGCCTACTCACTAACTTCATAACCACACTCTCCTCTGTCCATGATGCTTTTAACTTTGTATTTTAACTGTTTTTAAAAATTGACTTTTTTACTTGTATGTGTCAAGAAAGGCGCCTAAGAAATAAAATGTATTTTTGCACCATAGAAAGCCTGCTTGCTGGTACGATTACTATGTGGTTCACCAGCCTCACAGCCAAAGAAAAGAGAGCTCTGAACAAAGTGGTCCGTTCTGCTCGGAGGACTGTGAACTGTGAGATGCCCGTTCTGAAGGCTCTTTATGAGAGCAGACTCTTAAACCGAGCCGAACCGTACCATTAAAGAAGAGCTGGAATCTCAACCGGGTTCCATCTTTCCCTCCTTGTCTCAAAGATATTTCTGAAAATGTAGCTTAGTCCTGTGCTTCAACCTTTCTCCTTGGAGCTGTGGGTTGGGAAATTAAGAGGGTAGTCCAGGAGGCTCAGCAAACGTATCCTGACCCTGGAGTAAGAATGCACTTGTAAAAAAAAAAAAATAGATAAGTACTAGGGTCTACTACCTTGCAAGAATGAAATAAGTTATGAAGGGATTTAGCTGATTTTGACAGGGTTGCTGCTCTTTGAGAGGATTTGTCCAGTGGGGTATTGCTAAAAAGAGAGATAGCATACAGTACATTGGTTGTCATCAATATTGGGTGCATATAAAATGATCAGTATGATTGTCATGAAGGGTTCCAGTCACAATAACTAAAATGGTGACTTGTCCAATCCACTTCATGTGTAGCTCGTTATGGTCGTCCTCTTTGAGGTGGGTTACTTGAAGTTTTTTCTGAATGAGAGTATTTTGCCTTGCTTCACTATTGACCAGATGCATCGGCAACATCCTGTCACGTGATTGTGCAAGAGCTTACGGCGGAAGTAGTGGAAACTGGCAGTGCGGCGAGAGCAAAACGGACCACGACTCTTAAAAACTGAGACTCCTCTCCTTAAACGAGAAGTGGCTGCTTCAAGCACATGTTTGATTATGTTATAGGTGAAAGTAGGACATCTTGTCAGGGCTCACAAAGAGCGGTATTTGGAAAAGTTAAGGATCGCCGAACTGGATGTTGACCCGTACCTTCTCCCCCCGGTCAATTTTATCGATTAAATGAAATGTTCAATTTGGCAGGTATCAGATAAAAAGACACATTTTGCTTATGTCCTTGCCTGCACAGTCTTGGCTGTTATTCGGTGAAACAGGTTGTTTTGGTCAAGTTTCTGAAGACTTCCGCCGTCCGTCATGGAGAGTGGGGGTGGCCTGGACGTCACATGCAAGGGGTCAATACCATTCATCCCCTTTCAATACCAGTTAACAGATTTGACTGTGCTTTAACCTACTCATCATGGATCAAGAATGCTCCAGATTATTTTGCGGTATGGACCCATCTTTGTGGAAACAAAAGGGAAAAGGGACAACCATGCACACACACAGTCACACATGTTCAAAAGTAAAAATACCATAAACCCTTAAACCCTCTTGGTCTTTACCCAACTGAAAAAAACAGACATGACAAGTGAAGAAGAGAATAAAAACAACCATAAACCAAAGCTACAGTAAGCTAACTGCTTGACTGAGAGGAAACAAACTCTTAGTTTAGTTTGTCTCTGGGTCAAATTCAAATTGAACCACCTGGGAGCTACATAAGTAAAACAAAAATGTGATGATAAAGTAAATAAGTAAAAGAAGAGACATTATTTTGGATAAATCTTGTAAACCTTTTCAAATAACTATCTACAGGCACTTCTCCAACATAATGGTGTTAATTTCATAGTTTTCTGAGAACGTATTAGCTTACATGAGTTTGGGTTCATATAAATATATGTTAGTTACGTTTCCTTTACTTTTGTTTTCCTCAAATAATCCATTGCTTTTCCCAGCAGAATGTCTATTCACAGACCACATGCTGTTTTATTCATCCTATAAGAAGGCTCATAATTGTGGGAAAGAGCACTGTGTCACTATTTTACTACTTCCTGCTCTTGTACAGTGCGGTCGCAATCTCTCGCTGCTTTTTAATCTCCTTTAATCATTTTTATTTACATTTATATTCAACAAAACACAGATTTCTCCTTTTACAGACTTCAATACAAGACTTGTGGAATTTAGCAACTTTAAGAATGTCTTGGACTTCCGGTTTCCGCTATGCCCGGGTAGAACAGCTTGCCCGTGTGCTCTGACCAACTTAATTCTTAAAGTACCTGAAAAGGCGTTTAAACTCCACCAACGCACACAAATCTAACGACCTGACACGGCGATAATGTCATCCTCGCAAAAGATGTCCAGAAAGGACGCGAAAGCTGGCAAAGGTGACGAAATAAAGCAAAAGCAGCTAACGCTAGATGCTAGCTTAGCTCAGAGTGACACCGGTGGAGATATGCTAATGCTAACGGAGCTCCGTAAATTCCGCGAGGAATCAAGGTCTGCACAGAAAGACATAATTGACTCTCAAATACGAATGGAGACCTCGATTGGAGACATAAAGATAAGAATGGACACCCTGGAAGAGAGACTGACAACTGCTGAAAACAGAGAGTAACGCAGAAGACCGAGCAATGCGACACGATA